GATGGCTGAGTGGAAGATCGACCTATCTCGGCAGCCAGTTTGAAAACGCTCTATCTCAAAAAACTTTTCAAAAACGCCCTATTTCAGAATTCGTTTCAAAGACGCCTTATCTCAGCTGCCGATTCAAAAACGCCCTATATCAGCATATTTTCAATACATTTTGAAGTGAGATAGGGCGTTCTTGAACCGAATTTTGAAATAGGGTGTTTTTCAATTAAATTCTGAAATAGGACGTTCTTGAAAAGTTTTTTGAGATAGAGCGTTTTCGAACTGGCTGCCGAGATAGGTCGATCTTCCACTCAGCCATCGATATGTATATATGTTATATAAAAATGCGTCAGTTGAGAAATTCGGCGTTACTTCCTGAATTAATAAAATATGAGTTAAAAAATAATAACTTATCCTTTTCTACTTTACCGCGCCATTTAATTTTGAATTAAGGTATCCACACACCTATGCGATTCTGTCGGTGCGAATCTGTTACAACAATGCCGACCATAGTTTTAAATGAGGAACCACACACTTATGCGATTTTGCTGCAGCGATTTATTCAAACATTCACAGTTCTTCTTTTGGTCGTGCCGAAATCGCAGACTCCGCGTTTTGAGAACGAAAAAGGTCAATAGAAGGATTTTACAATATTAAAACAAAATTGAACGTAAGAAAACAAAACATATTTGATGTCGAAAAGTTAAGAGTTTTATTTTTTTTTTAATATTTATTGTTTGTCTATAAGTAAATTGACAGATTTTACTGCGATAAAATCGCACAGATGTATGCGTACTTCCATTTTCAGCAGTAACGTTTGTAGCATCAAAAACGGTGCGGATTCGTTGCGACAAAATCAAAGAAATTTTCAAAAAGTCGGATGTGGGAGTGGCGCTTAAAAAGGGTCAAATGGCCCCTTTAGTCGTACAACGGAAACACGGACACTAACTGCAAGGTCAAATATTGTTATCGACGCGATCCATAACATATAACATATATTTATTTAGTTTAAATACCGTTTTACATAAAAAATCTTAAGATTTTTTACTTTATATTACAAATTTTCATTTTACGGGAAAATATTATTTTATATTGAACACAGCGACGCAGCAGAAATTTTTTAATAAAAACACTCACTTATCCCCTAATGTTATCGAGATCATTATGAAAGAAATGTAGATTGTTGAACATCCCTTTATTTAGTGCATTTAATTTTCCAACATCTGGTTGCGCCTTTCTGTTCAGCATTAGAGCCATCTTGATTTGTTTGATTGTTTACTTTGTTGAAAAAAATTAGTGAAATTATTAAACACGTTTTATATTGTTAAAAAAAATGCATTTAATGTATACAAAATACACGCGAACATTGCAAAGATCGTATGCCTATGAAAATATAAGTGATAAGTGCTCTTTTTGTATGAAAATTTGCTGGTGAAACTGCAAAGAATTTAACAACAAATTATGTAGTTAAACACTATTACTAATAAATTGTAAAGAGTGACAAATAATGTATATATACGTTGCTTAACATCCCCAGCAAGTTTCATAAGAAAATTCATCATAGTTTTGCTAAGACACCCAAAAGGTGATGTAATGGAAAGCCAACCCCGTGGCAGCTGTCTTGCTCCCACCTCTCCCTTAGCCTCGAAACAATGTTCCTGCTTTCGCAGATATTAAGTAATAATGTTTTCGTTGTCAATTCATGCAACTTTTTTAAAAGTTGCAACGGAAGATCCTAAATTAGCTTATTGTTTTTAAATGTACAATTTCTTTAATTAAAGTAATAGAAACGTCCACATCGTAAGTTTCACACAACGATGCTACTTTCTTTTGCAGAGTTTTTTCCTTTAGCTTAAGATATTTAGAAAAAAATGTTCGATTAGAGTTCCTTGAAAAAATCAAATCGTGTGGTCATATTTCCAATAAGCTAGTCCAACAGGACGTAGAAGACCTCTACTCCTGGAACATATTTGAATAACCAACATTTCCATCTACATGCTTAATTGCATTCCTGCAGAAGCAAATATTTAATATCTTCAAATAAACGCTTTATATTGGCATATGTTTGGACATATTATGCAATGACGAATCAATATTTTCTTGTAAAATCTACCGCCTTCAGGACTAGAACTGACTGTTATATGAGTTTTGCACAATCCCAAATAATGTTATAACTTCTGAAAAGCATTCAATATAAATGATGTACAGTTTTCAGAAACAGTTTCACAAGTTATGAGAATATTCCATTTATAAGAGATATTTTCTTTTCTTTCTTTAAATACAATTTAATTTTTTTATTGCATGTTTTATCATATTCGCATTATGAAAAATTTTTAATTTTTTTCCAATTTTATTTCTTTTGTCTGGCCTCTAAAATTCAGCCGCGCCCGGATCAATTTACCCCGCTTACCTCCACGCACTACGGGCCTGTTGAAACCATATTCAAAAGTTAAAAAAAATCTGATGTTTGTATTAGACACTTGATTACTAATTGATTGAAATTGAAGCGAACAATAATTTAAACTTTATTAATAATGTCTATCTAATTATACATATTTTGGTGCTCACACTTTGCTAAGTGTTTAGCCAATTGTGTGGTGTGCGTCTTCTCGAAATTTCTTCATATAATTTTCTCTTAATAAAATTAACTAGTGAACCCGCATGGCGGTAAAACGCCCAAAGTTGAGTTTCGAAAACTCAAAAAATATTCCAAATGTTAGTAGAGTTATAAGCGATCCGGGTGCCATATTTGTCCTAAATTCGTGCAGCCGTTTCTGAGTGAAGAGAAGTCATGCACTATGATTTTACTTCCATAAAATTTCAAACCACCCTATACCTACGAAAAAACTTCTTTATTAAAAAAACTAAAACTTTATCACACATCTACGGATGTTCCAAATATAAATAAATAAATAAAATAATAAATAAATATAATATAAATATTCCAAATCTTAGTCAGAGTTATAAGAGATCCGAGTGCCATATTTCATCAAAACCGTTCAGCCGTTTCTAAGTAAAGAGCAGTCTCGCATAATGCATGGTTTTATTTTCATCGAATTTCAAATCACCCTATATCGATGCAAAAAGTTCTTAATTAAAAAAATAAAATCTTATCACACATCTACAGGCTAAGGTCTTTAATTTAACCTCTCATTTTTGAAATTCATTTTCAAAAGTATTCTCAAACTAACATCGTCTTAAATCTCTTTAGTCTGACATTGTGATATACATGCATTTAAATAAACTGTTGAATAAATTTGAATTTGATTGTTCGAACACATGGCTTCCCTCCTAAATAAAGGTCAGGAATAAAGTATTTTCAAACCCATTTCGATTGATATCCTTCTTCTTCTTCTTAATTGGCGCTGTAACCGCCTAAGCGATTTTGGCCGAGTCCAAAACAGCACGCCAGTAATTTCTCTTCTGTGCTAACTGACGCCAATTGAAAATGCCAAGTGAAGCCAAGTCCTTCTCCACCTGGTCTTTCCAACGCAGAGGAGGCCTTCCTCTTCCTCTGTTACCAGCATCGCGGCCCGCGTTGAATATTTTCAGAGCAGGAGCGTTTCTGTCCATCCGAACGACATGGCCAAGCCAGCGGAGCCGCTGAATTTTAATTCGCTGCACTATGTCTATATCGTTGTAATCGTTTCTTCGATTGATATCCACCTTTTAATAATTCATCCAAATTATTGAATAATTTGTATGTAACTTCTTAAACACGTGAGAACCCTATACAAACTTTCAAATTCTTCAATCCAAAAATTTCTTAACATTCTTTCACTTGACTACGGTATTTTCATATTTCATATACTTTTTGTATTAGTTAATTGAGTTAGACCTTTCAAACAGGTGGCAGTCACTCTTCAACATATTTTCAAGTTTAATCCTCGTTAACTCTCTTTCGACGGACATTGCGATACACATTTTAATTAACTGATGAATTACATAAGTGGACTTTGATTTTCCAAACATGTCGAAACCCCTTCATTATACAGTTCTCAAATAAAAATGTTTCGAACCCCCTGCGATTGATACCCATATTTTAATAATTTATATAACTTAACAAAAATTTTAATTTAACTTGTTTAACAGGTGGCAACCCTCTTCCAACATCCCAAAAATATTCTTAGCGTTAAAACTAAAGATTTCTTAACACTCCTTCATTGGACATCCATATTTTGATGTTTCATATAACTTGTGTATAAGTAACCTAAGTTCAACATTTCAATCAGGTGGCAACCCTCTTCAAAATATGTTCAAACTACTACTTTCTGAAACCCCTTTCGTTTGGCACCCATATTGTGATACATGTTTCTCTTACCTAATATGATTTTTTAAACAGGTGGCAGCCCTCCTATAGTATAGTTAAGAAACAAAGCTTTTCAAAACCAATTAGGTTGATACCCAGTTTGAAATAATTGATTTATTTATTTAAACTTTGTGCAAAACTCAAGAAAATTCGATAAATTTGCACACTAATTTGCAACTTTCTATTCAGTATGAAGTTTATAGTCTATTCAATTTTAGTATGACAAAATGCAAGTTTAAAGTTGCTAGAAAATCGCGTTGATTTTTGCCAATTTTTTTAGTGGAAGGTTTTGCTCATTTTCTCCATACAAAAAATAATTGTCGAATATACATACTTTGTATGGAAGAACTTGCGTGAAAAAAATTACCAAAAATCAACGCGATTTTCTGGCGACTTCAATCTTGCACATTGTAAATTTGAATGGGCTATAAAACTGCATACTTAGAAATTTTTTAAAAAATCTGAATAAAAAGTTGCAAATTAGTGTTCAAATTTAATGAATTCTCCTGAGTTTTGCACAAAGTTTAAAAATCTTATTATTATGTTTTGTTGGATAGAATGAACATTATTTTTATAAAGAAATATCGAAAATAAATTAGAATAAAAAACTTTGCATATATTGCGAAAAATTCACTGTGCCAATACTTCTCTTCGGCACTGTATATAGATTTAAAAACTAGCATCATCATGTCTGGGTACTCACCTCGACATGCCATCAGGACTTGGCGTGCCATACTCGCGGGAGTCTCTTATCCGTTGAAGGGTCTCCTGTTCACTTATGCCGGCGGCTATGGCCTGATCCAGCTCTGCATTATCGCGTTCATAATGAAATGCCGCTAACCGATCCTCTGTAAACGGTTTCGAAGCACTATTTTCCAACGCTTCGTCGTTGTTCTGATTTTTAGCCAACAACGCCTCGATGCAAAAGGACTTTCTCGGCTGACTCTGAGCCGTCACTGTAGTGGTTACTGGTGGCGAATCGGATGCATTCTGCTGCGCTAACATAACGTTACTAAGCGGCAGACGAGGCATGGGATAGCAGCCATTGACCAAGGCGGGATGGCCGACGGGCAACGCACTCGGCGTGAATGCATCGTACAAGCGTGACGCTGAAATTGCTGACGGTGGTTGCGGCGCTTGTGTGACGGAAGCTGGGAAGATGCGTTGATCGCGCAAACTGTTGGCTGCTGTGGTGGTAGCCATGGGCGCGAGGTGTGGTAGAGCGGGTATTGGAGCTACAATTAGCGGCAAGGCCGCACTGGATGTGGGGGGTAGATGTAAAACGGGATGATTGCTTTCGCGCTGTGGACTTGTATTTATGACATATCCACTTGGTGGAGAGTTCGTGGCGGACCGCGGCGAGTTAGATGAACTGGTTGGACTGGAATGGACGGGCGATCGAGGCGACAGCGTGGAGCAAGTGTTATTATTATTGTTCTGGCAATCGCTGCGTTGTGGCGATGGGTTTCGCTGCAGTTTTTGCTGTTGCGCGGCAGCAATGTGATTTAGGAAATGCGAAATTTGTTGCTGCTGTTGTTGATGCGTTTGCTGCTGTTGCAGTGTTGGAGGCTGTGACACTTGTACACTGGACATTTTGTTTTAATTCACTAAATTAGCATCCAACGTCTACATAGAAAAGTTTCAGATTTGGATTTTTTTTTTGCTTAATTTACATTCACTTTAATATTAATTGGGTATCACTTAGAAGTATCTATGTATTTTCTGCACTGATTTTTCTGGGCAAAATTTTTAAATGCGTAGATTATCAGTCACTCTGCTCGTTTCGTAGTCATTAGAAGTCGTTTTCCGGCGAACTTAAACCATTTTAACGTTTAACCGTGGCGAGTATACGTTACCAACTGTGCAATTGCACTCAACAATTGCGTATCATATACCTCGATGTGATAATTGAACGTAATCAGCGCCCGTTTGCTTGGCTGCCGGCTGCACCACACCTTTCACACCCTGCAACATTCAACCATGGGCACTCTTTCCTCGCTTACTCTCTCGCCGCTCTCTCTTACTCTCTGCCAGCAACACGCACACACACCAATGCCTGCAGCAGCTTTATTGTTAAAGCCACACAGTGGATTCGTGTACTATATCAAAGATGGAGGAGACTTTCTGTGATTGGCATCTCGTTCTAGCAATTGTTGTGCAAAAGTGAGAGCACACCGCTATTGGGGCGTGTTTGTAGCGGTTAAAATGTCGACTGGCATCAATGCCTATTGTGTGGGCGTGGCTGATTGTAACTGCGCTTCGTTGTACTTTCCACCATGGCTTCGTCGGACTTTCCACCATGGCTTCGTTCATAATGGAGTAGGGGGTTGAGTTTTAACGTTTTAATTTTTTTGGAGTAATAGATTGCAAATTGTCTAAAATGTTGGAAAAACGAGGGATAATTACCATCATTATAGAGTGTAGCCGCAGTTGGTATAGCATCGAAGGGCGAAAGCAATGTAGGTATTATGCCTAGCGGTAACCTGCAAATGCCGCCTGTCGCCATCATTAAGTTTCTCATCATCGTCATTAGTTTGGAATAGCGAAACATACGTGTCGGTACCATTTCTACAATCGGGAAAGGGAAATGGTTCGAAATCATTAGGGGTCTTCATATCAATTTCGTTGCTTTGGCGGTTCTTTAGTTGGCAGTACGGCAACGTGTTTCGACCTTTTTGACTTATTTCGGTTAGTATGCTAAGGATCTTTCGCAACAATTGATTTATAGCAATTTTATTAGAAAAAAGGAAAATTAATATTTTAAACATAAATTTCGCAATGTACTTCGAGCCTTTATTTTCATTTAAATTCTAATGTCAAACAGCTGTTTGTTATTTAGCCAATTACCGATCAAATTGCCAAGCGTGCCAGCGCGAAGCTTCGTTACTTGGCCCGTAGCCGCTTTTTTTGGCTTACAAGAACAAAATATGTATACATAGGTACGTAAAACTGCCAACTAACGAAGTAAAGAGCATGGTTTTGTATTTTGGTACTTTGTGGCATGCTCGTGACAATTACCAAGTATAGCTGCAAAACTATCGGTTGTAGTACCGTTGTACTATCGATAGTTTTATTTTTGGAAAAACATCGATTATTTTTGGGCGATAGTCGATAGTTTCGATAGTGCCGGTGCATTGAAATTTTGTGATCTTTACTTAATTAAGTGGCGCTGTAAATTGAACTAAGGAAAATATTTAGAATTTCACGCTTAAGATGTAATATTTATACTTACCTATGTGCAATATTTATATTTGCATATGTACGTACGTATATGTATGTATGTATGTAAAACTCGAACAAATTTTTTCATTCTATTCCTATGCGAAAACATATTAGAAACTATTTGTTAACATGTCCACATCAGTATTAAGCAGGGTATTCAGTTTGTTTAAAAAAAACGCAATTTCTGAAAAAAATCGCCAATTTTTTTTTATAAAATTCATGAAATGAGATTCGTTAATCTTTTACTTTAGAAATGAGATCTTATTATAACATAGTTTTTAAAACCTAAAACGAATATAATACCTTCAGAGGGTAATAATAAATAACACAAATAACTTATATAATAGTGATAGTGATTTGCATAAAAAATACATATACTTTTTAAAAATATTTGTTTCAACACACTTTGCAATAGGACTGCGCAATTATTAAATTTATTATAACTGATATTAATTCATTAATCGCAAATTCTTTTAAGAGCTCAGCGCTAAAAATAAAATAAAAACCAGCTATTCCACAATTTCTTAAATTAACTTTAGTGTCTGAATCATTTACATCAACGGCAGAACCAGAATTTTCTGATGGGAGGGGGGAGGAGGGGTTTGGCTAGAAATTTTTCCCCTTATTCTAATACCTTAAACGAGCAATTTTTGTGTATTTGTATATGTTTCCATAAGTTTCTCGGCAACGGCTCTAACGTAGCAAAATGAAAAATCGTTTAAAAATTACTTTCCAAGTTGTATTTCTTCCAATCGTCAAAAACTTTTTATTTGTCACGGGGGAAAATACCGTAAAAATTATTTTTATCGTGCGAATATCTATAGAAATTATCAGGGTTTGAAAAACTGTTAGCACAGCGACAACAGCCAAGCATTTGCTTTTTTATAAATTGTTGTTGCTTTGCTAGCCGGCAATTACAAGTACCTGATGAAGATCTTGCAGAAGCAATGAGCTTAGCCGACGACGCTTTAAAGGAATTCGAAGAAATGCGACAAGATGCAGAAAAAACTTTCATTTGCTTTTCGAACACGTAGAAGAAGTAAGCACCAACCTAGGTACAGAAATCAAAGTACCGCGATACAGCAGTCGCCAACAGAATCGCTTTAATGTGAAAACCGGAGACGCCGAGGCATACTATCGCATTGCTTTTTACATTCCCTTCCTTGATACATACATATATTGCTCATTTGAAAAGCCGGTTCCTAAACCATAAATCAGTTTTAATTAATTTTAGTGTTTTGTCTCCAAAGTATGATTTTAACGAAAAAAACTGAACAATTGTTTGCTTTCTATGAACAAGTAATCGATTGCTCGAAACAAAACTTTCTTCTGGAGGTAAAAATGTGGAAAAAACGAGTTACACACGAACATTTTCGAAATGCTCTCGAAGTATAACAAGTAGCTAATACAACGTCTTTTGGGAATATTTTTTAAGATTTTACGTATATTGGCACTTTTGCCCGTTTCAATAGCCACACCTGAACGAAGCTTTTCATGCCTGAAAAGAATTAAAACCTACTTGAAAAATTCAACATGCCAAGAAAGACTCAACAGTCTAGCATCTATGAATACTCACAAAGATACAAATTTTTCAGTTAACGAAGTTCTAGAAGAATTTTTCAAAAAACCACAAAAATTGGAAAATTCTTTGTTTCATTGATTTATAAGTAAAAAGAAAAATTTAATGTGTTTAAAATTATCAAAATGATTTATAAATAAAGCGAAAAATTGAATATATGTATGATTTTAAAAATTCGTATTTGAAACTTTATTACGCATACTTTCTTCTAAAGAGCCTTTTTTCTATACCCATATTAGTGAAATATTATTCTTTGACTTCTGTTGTTGTCATATATCAACAACCTTAATAACATACTGTTTGATATTGGAAACGTTTTGCAGCAGAAACTATTAGCCTTCATATAACACTTTGTTCGAACTATTGAATTAAGGTTTTCCAACCTCATCATATTTCGAATCATAGTTGTTGTTGATTTCTTTACGGAAAAAACGGCTCAACAAAAGCATATGAGTGCGGTAAGAATAATAATATGAAGGCTACTTTACTTATATTTCCAAACATTTTATTGCCTGTTGCGGTTTTCAATCCGTAAGCAATTATCCAAAATTCTTCAGAGTCGGATGGAATGGTTCTGAAAAAAGTTACTGCCAGTTCCCTGAAACTCGCCCTCTCGTGATTCACATACTTTTCTGGTGACAAAATCAAACCTTTTTTAGAAGTATTTAATTGAATAGGTAATCGTACCAAAATTTCTTCGATTAGGGTGATCAAAAATTTTTGACAGTCTTTTAATATGCTTCTGAAGTCAAGTTGATCACGCAGTTGAGTAGCCTCTTCTGTACAATTATCGTGGAAAACTAGGTTTTGTATATTTTTATAATTGCAAAAAATTTATTTGAGGGAAAAAATCGCCAAAAATCGCCAATGGCGATTTCCTAAATTTTTACGCGCAAATATCCAAAAAAATCGCCAAATTGGCGCGAAATCGCCAAATCTGGACACTCTGGTATTATTAAATTAGTATGTGATCACCTGGAAATCGGTTGACGTGGTCCAAAGTTATGCGGTAACATGCATAAAAAAACTCCGACGAATTGATAACCTTCTCCTTTTTTTTTGAAGTCGGCTAAAAACTACTGAAACAAATAACAAAATGATAAAAGAGTACCGAAAACATAAAACTATCGCATCAATGCTGTTTAAAAAATACTTAATGAAAACATAAAATTGTTGACACCATTCCCTAGCATTATAAATCAGTCAACTTTTAATCGTAAGCAATTTCGTTTGGGGTCGCCAAGGCCTACTACGTATATTGCGAGTAAAGAAATTTTGAATAACATGAGATAATATTATTATGATTATGATTATCATTACTATTGTGAACTCCTATTCCCAATCAAGGATTCCCAAATTAAAGCGAAAGCAGAAGAGCATTTACGATCGCATGATGCAAATGTTAAGATAATAAGAGCTGCAGAACTGAACCATGTAGGAACATATTTTTACAAGGGTGTGTAGTTTCTGGCGTGTGCCGACATCAACGGTAACAAAAATAGCGAAGTCTCTTCTGCCTTTTCCAAGCTGGATAAGGAAGCAAAGCGAATGCGCCTGGTGGTAAACGAGGACAAGACGAAGTATCTCCAGTCACCGCGTTCGCGCCTTGGAACCCACGTCACTGTTGACAGTTATAATTTCGGAAAAGTGGAGCATTTCATTTACTAGGGGACCAGCATTATCACCGATAAAAATATCAGCATGGAAAACCCACGCAGAATTACTCTTGCCAACAGGTGCTGCTTTGGACTGAGTAGGCAATTGGGGAGTAAAGTCCTTTCTCGACGTACAAAAACCGCACTCATCATGCCCGAGCTGTTATATGCCGCAGAAGCTTAGACAATGACAACATTTTATGAGGCGGCTCTTGGAGTATTCGAGAGAAAGATCTTATGGAAGATATACTGGCTTCTACACGTGGGAGTTTCGATGATTTATATGTTCAATGGCAGCTCAAGAGATGAATTGGCAATGCTCCTGCCTGGTAACAAAGTCGCAGCAATTCCAGATGAAGCGATAGCTAAGGTAATGCAATTTTTTGATCG